AACTCCTGAGCTCAGCTGAGAAAGCGAACATATATTCCTACTCCACCACTGTATAGGAAACTCCTGAGCTCAGCTGAGGAAAGCGAACATATATTCCTACTCCCACACTGTATAGGAAACTCCTGAGCTCAGCTGAGGAAAGCGAACATATATTCCTACTCCAACACTGTATAGGAAACTCCTGAGCTCAGCTGAGGAAAGCGAACATATATTCCTACTCCAACACTGTATAGGAAACTCCTGAGCTCAGCTGAGGAAAGCGAACATATATTCCTACTCCAACACTGTATAGGAAACTCCTGAGCTCAGCTGAGGAAAGCGAACATATATTCCTACTCCAACACTGTATAGGAAACTCCTGAGCTCAGCTGAGGAAAGCGAACATATATTCCTACTCCAACACTGTATAGGAAACTCCTGAGCTCAGGTGAGGAAAGCGAACATATATTCCTACTCCAACACTGTATAGGAAACTCCTGAGCTCAGCTGAGGAAAGCGAACATATATTCCTACTCCAACACTGTATAGGAAACTCCTGAGCTCAGCTGAGGAAAGCGAACATATATTCCTACTCCAACACTGTATAGGAAACTCCTGAGCTCAGGTGAGGAAAGCGAACATATATTCCTACTCCAACACTGTATAGGAAACTCCTGAGCTCAGGTGAGGAAAGCGAACATATATTCCTACTCCAACACTGACATGAGTTTAACGTAAGCTGCTCTCGATAGCGAGGAAGTTCTGAACCAAATCGCTATGCGAAAAAGGAGAATTCCAACGAATAGCGGCCACTAGGGACCTCCAAAATGACCTTTTCGTGTTAATTTTTTACACGAAAAAATGACCTAGGAAATTGATTGTTGAAACTTATACTGGACGAACAGTAAGGTGACCGTCATCTTACTAGTTTTCTTGTCGTAAGTGTAGCCGGCCTCGAGAAGGAAGTCGTGTTGTTCGATCATGATGGAGAGAGGGAAAGTCAATGATAGCTAATTCAAGCGTGTTGGGTAATAATTTCGTGGCGCGCGGTCATCGCTTTGTGCCAGTCGAGACACTCTAAGTATATCAGGCGGTAGAAGTACCTACGAAAGCGAGGGCGAAAGCAGTGTGAGATTTCATAGCTATTATTCTGTTGTTTTTTTCAAATTCAAATTAGCTGCATTTCGGAGAGAGTTTCTTGAGTTATGTACAGTGCGTGCCAATTTGATACTATGCAAATGTGGAGAATGTGCGTCGTTTTCTATTCCGGGATTAATGATAGTGAACAACTTGTCGCTATCACAGTCTCGAAAGGTTACTTTTATCACATCACATGTTCATAGCAATGTTAACATTGCTTATGCGATATAGTTTAATCTCCGAGAATAACACACATTTGCATATCAAATTGACAAGCATTGTTCTTTCGTTTTCTGGAATTTTCTATCCTAATTAACGATGCTGCATGAGCTCGCAATGACCGACGTTAACGGTGAGGCAACTACCCTCGCAGTAGGAGAGTACATTCGAGAAAGTATTGACCAGGCTGAGAAGACACTGTTGGATTATAAGGGAAGGAGAAGTGTGGCCGAGAAATGGGTAGGATATATGTTTGCTGAATATATATGAATAATAAAAATTTTCACAGAGGGGGGAATAATCGCGGAATTATGTCCAATAAGTAGTAGTTTGAGTTTGGAAGTTTTCTCACTAGTGTGTACAGAAACCCAGTAGAATTTTCATACTGTCACCAACACATGTAGTTGATTATTTCCATACTTTTCAAAATTGCCTTTTTTGTTTTAGGTCGATTTTGTTGATAATAGTAAGTGGCTTTCAAGTTTTCTTATTGATGCGAAGCACGTGAGCCCTCCATGTGAAGTGCCTGGGTTGGTGGGAATATTCGAATTTGTTTTTTTGGGAGATTCGCGTTTTTCAGATATTCATTATATCTGCTGTACTACGAGGATTCGGGCAAGTTGTTTTTCAGGATAATCCATGTGAGTTTACTAGTAGTGATTTTTTATGGAGTTTTGCCGACTTACCACGACTGTCTCTATTGCGAAGCGAGCGAGTTAGATAATGGAGTTTCACCAGTGATATTAGAAACACTAATGAAAAACACATTTCGAATTTCACCTCGCGAAAAACAGCTGTGTGATCGGTCACTCAATGGAGTATTAATCCACTTCACGTTAAACGGGTGAAACTCTATTGTGACTTCGCGTATTTTCACTACGTTCGTTCGTTTTAATTATTCCTCAACGACTACACCAGTTGAGCTCTCGAGACACATACCATTCGGAAGAGTGTAGTTCATGTACCCAACAGAGATATTAAAATACTCTCATACCCGCCCTTTATCGTGTATTGGCCGCGAACGGAAAAATGCCCTCGCCGGGGATCGAACCCGCGACCTTGTCTCGAAGGTCTGGTTGATCATTACTTGAGTCTACTATTATAGGGGACTCGTTTTGCTGTTGTTATCAGGGACGGGCTTGTTCGTTTGTATTGCCGGTGGTTTGCCTCATTGGCCAACCGCTATCATGGGCATCATTGGATGTAAGTTGTTGTTGTTGTTGTTGTTGAATATGTTGTTGTTGTATATATGTTGTTGTTGTACATGTTGTTGTTGCTGTTGATGTTGTTGTTGTTGTTGTTGTTAATGTTGTCGATGATTTTGTTGTATATGTATATGTTGTTGTATATGATGTTGTATATGTTGTTGTTGTATATGCTGTTGTTGTATATGTTCTTGTTGTATATGTTCTTGTTGTATATGTTGTTGTTGTATATGTTGTTGTTGTATATGATGTTGTGTATGTTGTTGTTGTATACGTTGTTGTTGTATACGTTGTTGTTGTATATATGTTGTTGTTGTATATGTTGTTGTTCATGTATATGTATTATACATAATGTATATTCATATGTTGTTTTTGATAATGTTGTTATTGTTGTTGTCACGCTCGGTCAAATGAACCCCTCCCGCATCGTCATTTCTTCGGCCAGCTCCATCACATACAATTGCGCACGTCACAAACGAATGCATTTACTTGTCTATACTAATTTTCCACGAGCTGTTTGTATAGGCACTATCACGACGGTTTTTCCCTTGCTGGTACAACCACTAGAACCAAGAGGGTAAGTTTACGGACTTGCTTGTTTTCCTCTTTCACACTGCAATTTTGTCATCAGATTGGTCGCTAGTGGTATATACGGTTTTAATGGAGTTTTGCTGGGCTGGGGATACTCGACCTTCGACAACAACATACAACGTGCTCATTCATGTACTACTTGATAATGATGATGAGTTATATTGCCATCCGTTTAACGTGAAGTGGCGTAATACTCTGTGATATTCGTGGTATGTAGTTGTTTGTGAAGTATGTTTTTCGTATCGGTTGAGCTCAGGAGTTTTCTCACTAGTTTTAGAATTCGGGTAGAAGTGTACGGAAATGAGCAATAATTTTCCCCGAAATTTTCTCAGTATTTTCACATTGTCACCAACACATGTGCATATTTTCTCACGAGTATAAGTGTACAAAACAGTTCTCAAAAGTTAATTCCAAAATTTCCTCCCAGAATTTTTATATTGTCACCAACACATGTAGTTGACCATGTGCGAATTCCCCCTTCATCATTTTGTTTCAGTATCATCTGGTGTCATCGCGCTGTTGAGGGCTCTACCAGCAATGCTGTTTCTTGCGGTAGTGCTTGGGAAAGGCAATTTTAGGGCGCGCGCTTTTTACAAATTATAACGCGCGTTGGTGGTTCTGATACAGAAATTTGAATTTTGAATATTCGGATGTGGGGTTTCGAGTTTGGGTGGTTTTGGATGGGTAATTTATTCCGTGTGAAAATTTCGATATCGTGTATACGAGCGCAGCCCACCTGAAATGGTGAGGTGTTAAGAGTGTATGATATTTTTCCGAGTTGATTTGTTGGAGAAATGTGAATATTTCACGCACGATTATATTGGAGTATTAGTGAAAATTATAATGATACCAATACGTGGCGTTATTTTAGATTCTGACAGCTATTCTGCACGTGGTGATCAGCAGAAGTTTCACTAGAGCTACCAGGATTCCTCCGCTGACTTGGCCGTGAGTTGGGTACAGTTTTCCTCAGCTGAGCTCAGGAGTTTCCTATACAGTGTTGGAGTAGGAATATATGGTTGCTTTCCTCAGCTGAGCTCAGGAGTTTCCTATACAGTGTTGGAGTAGGAATATATGTTCGCTTTCCTCACCTGAGCTCGGGAGTTTCCTATACAGTGTTGGAGTAGGAATATATGTTCGCTTTCCTCACCTGAGCTCAGGAGTTTCATATACAGTGTTGGAGTAGGAATATATGTTCGCTTTCCTCACCTGAGCTCAGGAGTTTCATATACAGTGTTGGAGTAGGAATATATGTTCGCTTTCCTCAGCTGAGCTCAGGAGTTCCCTATACAGTGTTGGAGTAGGAGTATATGTTCGCTTTCCTCACCTGAGCTCAGGAGTTCTATAGAATTCGGGTAGAAGTGTACAGAAACGAATAATAATTTCCAAAATTTTCTCAGAATTTTCATATACATGTGTATATTTCCCCACAGTAGCAAGAGCGTAATCGTTGTCGTTGTTGATAGATACAACATAGCATTGCTGATGTGGATGGCGTGCGCTACTTTATCGAACAATTATGGTATAGCTAAATGGTGGTCTTCATTGGAGTGTTGTTTATTAGATACTCTTTTTACGCACGCTGTTACTCCCAAGGCTCTTGCTGGTGAATACTCTATCACTTGGTTTTTCACAACTTGGTTAAAGGGAATCTCCCAGGTTGTTTTCAGTAAGCAGTTTGTGAATACATTTTTGAGTTTCCTCAGCTGAGCTTGGGAGTTTTCATGCGAATTTTTGGGGTAAAATTACCCAAAATTTCCTGAGAATTTTCATATTGTTACCAACACGTAGTTGACCATGTGCATATTTTTTCACATTGTGTAGTTGTGGAGATCTTTTTTTCTTGCAGGTGCGGACTTGTGGTCAGGAGTGGTGCTCTTGGTTGGCATTCTTGTAGGGTAGGTGGTATCGGTTTAGTGATGTTCTGGGCAGTGAAGTGCGTGTCAATTTGATACTATGCAAATGTGGAGAATGTGCGTCGTTTTCTATTCCGGGATTAATGATAGTGAACAACTTGTCGCTATCACAGTCTCGAAAGGTTACTTTTATCACATCACATGTTCATAGCAATGTTAATATTGTTTATCTCGGTGAATAACGCATATTTTTGTTGGAGTATATGTTCGCTCTCCTCAGCTGGGCTCAGGAGTTTCCTATACAGTGTTGGAGTAGGAATATATGTTCGCTCTCCTCAGCTGGGCTCAGGAGTTTCCTATACAGTGTTGGAGTAGGAATATATGTTCGCTCTCCTCAGCTGAGCTCAGGAGTTTCCTATACAGTGTTGGAGTAGGAATATATGTTCGCTTTCCTCAGCTGAGCTCAGGAGTTTTATAGTATTCGGGTAGAAGTGTACAGAAACGAATAATAATTTCCCTCAATCTCCTCAGAATTTTCATACTGTCACCAGCACATGTAGTTGCAGTAGACAGATTACACAAAACGCTAATGATATCAACAACGCACACACCGTTGAGCTCAGGTCTCCCTATTCTGTATTCCTCACTGCTTACGGAGCTCTTGTGGGTTTGCTCACGGGCATGGGAATCGGTCTTGACTTTCCTGGCATGCTGAATAGTGGTTTGGTAAAAAATAACAATTTTCCCCGATTTTACGAAAAATTTCAGGTGTGCTATAACCCGGTATTGGTGGCTCTATCACTGGGAGGGTTTTATGTGGCGCCGAGTGTGAAAGGATTTTTAGTGATGACTTTTGGTTGTATATTGTCGGTGGTTTCTTATCAAGGCGTGGTGAATTTTCTGGTAGTAATAGGGTGTGGGAATAAATGTTTGCTTTCCTCAACTGAGCTCGTGAGTTTACTCACTACATTATGAAAATCCACACACGATTTTGGGTAAAGTGCAGAAAAAATAAGGAAAAAATTAGGCAAAAATTAGGCAAAAATTAGGCAAAAATTAGGCAAAAATTAGGCAAAAATTTCCTCGGAATTTTCATAGTTTTACCAACACATGTAGTTGACCATATGCATATATTCCCACAGAAACCAACAAGAATTATCCGAAATTTTCCCAGAATTTCCATATTTTCACCCACACATGTAGTTGACCATATGCATATATTCCCACAGAAACCAACAAGAATTATCCGAAATTTTCCCAGAATTTCCATATTTTCACCAACACATGTAGTTGGCCATGTGCATATATTCCCACAGAAACCAACAAGAATTTTATAAAATCTCCTCAGAATTTTCGTATTTTTACAAATACATGTAGTTGACCATGTGCGTGAGACTATCGTGTTATATGGTTTCAGGTGCTTCCTAATGGAGGGCCAGCTTTGACGGCTCCGTTTTGTATTACGGTGACTATCCTGTTGGGAGCGATGATATGGGATTTCGTCGATGGTGTAGGTCGTAGTTTATACTACTAAATTTTCGTGCGCCCATAATATAACAATGGATGATGAAACGGTTCTGAAACGGTGTCGATCGATTTTCACTCTCATTATCAGTACACCTTCCAAAGGTCAGTGATAAACTCTCCTTATTGAGCAAGTTCCTTCAAAAAAGGTGATTTGCATAACGGTTTGGTTCGCACTGTAGACAAGCATATAGATATCACGTAGGATCGTATAGGTTAGCCAATGTAAAGTATATCTCTCTCTCTCTCGTTCTCGGCCGTTTTCGGCCAGGCGACAAATCAACAGGTGATGACAAATCGGCTTGTTTATAAGGTCGACGTACTCAGCTCAAGGAGACCAGCACTTTACTGAGTTAGCCAATGTAAAGTATATAAGGAGCAATGGGCGACGGGGAGATATTAGGAGGCGTCTCGTCTTCACCTCACGGGCGTTCGCGTGTAGCGATATGCTATTAACGCTGTAGATACGCGTTATATCAAAATACGTAGTATTATATATAAGTTGTAGGAATACTACATATACTAGATATGTAGATGGGTGATGGATAGTGCACGCCAATTTGGTATATGTGCGTTTAAACGCATATGTGATCTATGAGTAACGCTTGCGTGCAATAAAATGTGTACAGTGCGTGCCAATTTGATATGCGAATGTGGAGAATGTGCGTCGTTTTCTATTCCGGGATTAATGATAGTGAACAACTTGTCGCTATCACAGTCTCGAAAGGTTACTTTTATCACATCACATGTTCATAGCAATGTTAACATTTAGTTCAATCTCATTTTTATATCAAATCGAAACACACTGTAGATACCCGTGTTGTTCCCACGGCAACTGTCGTGTATCGAGAGGCACTGGGCCGTCAAGGCTCGCACTCGGCGTGCTATTAGAGTGGTCTGTGAGCTGGAAAGTGGAGGGTCGACGCTGGCATGGGTATCATCGGTGAGGGGGAGTATTCGGGCTCGCTGAAGTCTGAAATTTTTTGAAAAAAAATCACAAATTTTCGGGGAAATTTTTCTCCGAAAAATTAAGAAAAAATTCAGATTTTTTTCGCGGATATGGTTGAGCGTCGCGTGCTTTGGGAAGTTAGCCCAACTTATGAAGACGTCGTGAAAAAACCTGAGTTTTTACAGAATATGCGTGTTATTGTTGGATAAGTCGGCGAGGTTTTTGCTGGAAAAAACCGAGTTCCTGACATAGAATTTTTTGATTTTTCGGGAAAATATGGTTGTGACTGTTAAGAAATGAGCGAAAAAAATTCAAAAATATCGTAAAATTTATCTAGGTTTTTTTGGTAGGATATTGTCCGAGAGCTCGGCCGAGCTGTGTCCATGAAAGTGAGGGAGATGATTCCTTATGATGTTAGTAATAATGGTGACCATTTTAGCTGTCGAGTAAAATTTCACTTCAGGCGAACAGGAATTCAATATTGACGGTTATGCAGAAATACTCCTGGGCAAATCAGGCTTGCACCAGTGGAATCAGTAGTAGCTTTTGGGTCTACTCTCGCAAGAAATTTTTGGTAGTCCTATGCTGGCATGTGGTGATGGTCGTCGCGGTGAGTCGATCGAGAAAATAGCAGGAGTGGTTGAATATGCAGCAAAATATGAGTAAGACACTAATGCGGTTACACCCTAGTGATAAAGAAAACATCAGTGAAAAAATTGCGGAGCGAGCGAAGCGAGCGGAGCGTATTCTCTCACTTTACTAACACTTTGTGCGTGCGTGCGTGCGTACAAATTATCCAGCTCGATCTAGAGAGGTTATGACCATATGCTATACACCATTCGATAGCTCTCGCTCTGGGGATACTAGGAAAAATACGAAATTAGGGTCCCGTCCGGACCATGTAGATTTCCGTGCAAAGAACATATTTTTGCAGAAAAACGCCAGGCATGGGAATCGAACCCGGATGCCGAGCTCCGCCCCTTCTCCGAGAAGGCCTAGTACTACATATCACCGCGAATATCGGGTTTTTCACGGAGTATTATGCCACTTTACGTAAAACGGGTGAAACTCCGATGAACTTGTGATGGTTTGGTTACTGGAGTCTCACCTGTCTGAAGTGAAATATCGTAATACTCTATGTGAATTATAAGACGTATATGTTCCCGCGACCGATAATACATTTTTTTCGCGGGGTGAAATGTGAAATATGTTCTTTATATCACGGGTGAAACTCCACTGTTGATCAGATTGCTGAGGAGGGTCTTCCTGCGTTGTTGCGAGTTTGGAAGTGAGCAGAGTCTTGTTGATTCCACGGTTGAGGTTGTTACCGATGGCCACGCTTTCCCGGCTAGTGTGAAGGAGCAGGTGAGGCTATATGCACATGTGTTGGTGACAGTATTTAGTAAATTTGGGGCAATTGTTATTAGTTTCTATGCTCTTCCCTCCGAATTGTATAATTAGTGAGGAAACCCCTGAGCTCAGGTGAGGAAAGCGAACATATATTCCTACTCCAACACTGTATAGGAAACCCCTGAGCTCAGCTGAGGAAAGCGAACATACACTCCTACTCCAACACTGTATAGGAAACCCCTGAGCTCAGGTGAGGGAAGCGAACATATATTCCTACTCCAACACTGTATAGGAAACCCCTGAGCTCAGCTGAGGAAAGCGAACATACACTCCTACTCTAACACTGAGCGTTGCTGTCCTGGACGCGTTATGTGAACATGGTTCGGGTCGATTTATGACTATCGTTGTAGATCGTGATTGCTTTTGGCTATGTTCTCGTCTAGTGGTAAGCAATTGAGTGATAAGACTTTGTATTATTTGTTAGCTCGTTGTTGTTGTTGTTGTATATGTTGTTGTTGTTGTATATGTTGTTGTATATGTTGTTGTTGTATATGTTGTATATGTTGTTGTTGTTGTTGTTGTTGAATCGAACAGTTAACGGTTTGGGAAAGTCTGTGCAGTGCATGCCAATTCTATTCCGGGATTAATGATAGTGAACAACTTGTCGCTATCACAGTCTCGAAAGGTTACTTTTATCACATCACATGTTCATAGCAATGTTTATGTGATGCAATTTGATATCATTTGCATGTCAATTTGGAACGCATTATGTGTCTTCTCGTAGGCCGTTTTATCAGCTCGAAGAGTTTCCGGACCGCAGGCAGCAACCGAAATCGGCATCATATTCGGCGGTCGCGACTTCGACAATAAACCCTTGGAGGGAATCATTTCCGACTGCGCTACTATGGCGGTCCATGATTCCATTTAATGCTGATTCAAATATATATCGTCTGTATGTGTTCTTATATATAGTAGCATCTATATATGGTGTAATTGGATGCACTTGGGTTGTTCTGTACGTATTAATATATAGTAGAATTGGATATGTCGTAGTTGATGTAAGCTTTTATTTGGTGTACTCAAAGTTACCATTGGATGTAATGTGGCTTTGTGTGAGTGATGATTGGGCTTATGTGAATGGTGGGAGAGTATGCAGATGATCAGCTACATGTGTTGGTGACAATATGGAAATTTTGGGAAGTTTTTATTGGTTTCTGTACATTTCTACCAAGTTAGGCAACTCTCGAACTCGCGCGAACGTATATCCAAAACTGGAAATGATCTTGTTACGGTATGAAATATGGCTCTGGCGCTGGTCAACGTATGATGATGACGGATCGGGGAGAATCTTCACAGTGCGTTAAAGCCGAGATTTTCTATGTCCTGGCAAAGCAGCGGTAGTCAGTGGCGGCAGCAAGGTTATGGGAGCTCACGTTGGGAGGCTGGTGGAAGATACTCTGAGTGAGAAGGGAAATATAAATTCTAGTTTCAGTCTCAATTTCACGCTAGGACTCGGACCATGGCGGCGATCGGTTCGATCCTCTCCCCAGGGGGGAATTCGGCGGCTGCTCGTTGAGCGGAGTTCCTCTTGAGAGAGGGCTACTTTAACTTAGAATCTATATCATCTAGTTGGGGAAATATAAATTCTAGTTTCAGTCTTGGAGAGCAGATGAGAAACGCGTATATGGTCGACTGTCGGAAATATGCATTGGTTTTTGTCGAATGAACTCCCGAGCTCAGCTGAGGAAAAGAAACATATATTACTATTGCTAAAGGTATGATACTGGCGGCGATCAAAGATACGAGTATAAGGCTGGCGCATCGGGCGGATCATGGTGGGAAATGCTCGCTCTGAAGCGTTCATAGTGGTGACTTTAGGAAGGGTGGGCAAGAGTATTGGGACGGAAGTGGAAGCTCTGTAGGACAGTTTTGGAAGGTATAGGTAGTTGTAGTTGTCCATCGGATGGTGAACTGTGGGCGTAGGGCACCAGTGGTAGCTATCAAAATGACTCGGTGGATTGGATCGATCCTGGCAGGCGTTGGACGGGCGAACAGCGCAGTGCTGATGAGGAAGTAGTAGTAGTGTTATTGATGTTGTTAAAGAGTCGTTGACTCCTTTAGGGAGGTGGGAAGCCATCAGGTCTACCGCGAGCCAGGTCCCGATCGAGATCTAGATCCAGTCCTAGGTGAGGACGCACTCGATCGGGAAGGAGTCCAGTGTGGGCATTGCCCACTGGGCAACTATACGTGTCGGTGACAATATGAAAATTGAAAGGGAATTTTGGGAAAATGTTGTTGACCAGAATTTGTATATAAACTTGTATAATTAGTGAGAAACCCTCTCGATTCCTACTCCAACACTGTATAGGAAACTCTCGAGCTCAGCTGAGGGAAGCGAACATAAATTCCTACTCCAGCACTGTATAGGAAACTCCTGAGCTCAGCTGAGGAAAGCGAACATATATTCCTACTCCAACACTGTATAGGAAACTCCTGAGCTCAGGTGAGGAAAGCGAACATATATTCCTACTCCAACACTGTATAGGAAACTCCTGAGCTCAGCTGAGGAAAGCGAACATAAATTCCTACTCCAGCACTGTATAGGAAACTCCTGAACTCAGCTGAGGAAAGCGAACATATATTCCTCCAACACTGTATAGGAAACTCTCGAGCTCAGCTGAGGAAAGCGAACATATATTCCTACTCCAACATTATAACACTCAGGTACATACGGCAACGTAGCCGTAGTCCTGATTATTCCAATGATAATCAACAGGACACAACACGTTCGAGTGAAGAAAGCGACTCGTCGGAACGAGGGGAAAGCGAGTCTGTGAGCCCGGAAGGCTTGGTAGTGTAGATATGGAACAAAACGACTTTGAGATTTTCGATATAGGTTGTTCGGCGAGAAGCAGGTGGGCTGTTGGAATTCGATGCGCCTTGTACAGTTCGAAGGGTGGAGTCGTTTAGTGAGGAAGAGAAGAAAAAGTAGTTTGTATGGTTGAGCGGAGCGAAGTTTTTTCATGCTTTTACGTTGTAGGCTGGCACGGTTTGCCACATGGGAAGAGGCAGTTGAACGTGGTCTTCTTTTACAGACTGTTGTGGATGCTCTTGAGGCCTCCGGGGTGAGTATATGGACGGTTCTCTGGGGTCAATAGCTCTTCCATTGTAGGCGGCCCGACCTACCCCGATACAACAGCATGCTATTCCGGTGATAGCTGCAGGAGTGGACGTAGTAGCAAGTGCGCAGACGGGCACTGGTAATAGTGGTCGACGTGGGTGATGTGGAATGCCTTTGTGATTAGGAAAAAGTCTGGCATTCATCGCACCTATTGTGTCGAAGATTGGCAAATTGTCTTCAACAGTTCCCCGGCCATTCTTTCCAGGGAGGTAAGGCGATCGTTTGAGCAGGCTGGAAATATATTCATAGAACAAATTTTTATTGGGTTTCTGTACACGCCTACCCTAAGCCGTATATAAACTTTCATAATTGCTGATGAAACTCCTGAGCTCAGCTGAGGAAAGCGAACATATGGGCGCTGGAGTAATGGTATTGTGTTGTAGGATGGCCCAGGCGTCTCCACTGTGCATGGTACTGGCCCCAACAAGAGAGCTCGCGATGCAGTTGGTGAAAGATTTTGAAGTAAAGTGTTGTGGTGGTTTCGGGAAGAAGTGTCCACTGGTCAGTCGTGCTCGGTGAGCCTTGCTCAAGAAGAGATGTGTCGAACAATGGCAGCGTATGGTGGAGAAACTGCATCGCGTCAGGTGGGTTCGCTGGGGTTAGAATAAGCTGCTCTCTCGTAGTATCTTTATACTTCGCCCGCCATAATATGTAACCGTGAAACCGTTAGATTCCCATTGCTCTATGTTGGGATTTTATAGTAGTCAATTCTCTGGCAGGCGGACCGCATTTGTGCTGAGCAGCTCGACGTGTTGGTGGCCACTCCTGGAAGGCTTCTCGAGTTTAATGAGACGGGAAGGGTAAGCTTGTTAGTAGTCGTAGTGAGTTTGGGACAACTCAGCAGGTGTCCTTGGGGTATGTCAAGTTCCTCGTGTTGGACGAGGCAGATCAGATGCTATCCATGGGCTTAGAGGTAGGACACCGCTAGGTGGAGTGGCGAGAGAACATTCTGTCTCAGGCGTATGTTAATAACATTCTCATGGACACGGACCTCACAGAGCCTAGTGGACGGCAAACACTGCTGTTCTCTGCCACTATTGACAATCCAAACCTCAAGCCGTGGCTAGAGGGCGAGGTGGGTTGTACCGGACCCCGTGCGGGGACTGAGGTTTACTTTTATCAGACTCTTCTACGCAAGCAAAGGGTGGCAATCGCTGTCGGCCGGGGACGGGGAGCTGGGGGTGATGGAGGTGCATTACGGTCTAATGTTGCACAGTCGGTTCGTGTGTTGACCTCGGACCAGGCCAAGGACCAAGCTCTTTGGGAGGATCTGGCTAAGCTTGACGTCGCTAAGGGAGAACAGGTCAGTTCCCGAGAAGTTTTACGCTTGATAGATCGATGTGCACTTGTTGATTTTGCCCTCGTGAATTCTGTTTGAGACATGTTAATCTCGCAGGCGATAGTTTTCGTGGCATCTCGTGATAGAGGAAAGGATCTCCATAAACGAATATGTGGAAGTGGGAGTTTATGCTGTGGTTTACTACAGGGCAAACAGCTGCAGACGGTCCGGGAAGAAGTCGTGAGGAGGTGAGCTGTGAAGGGATGATAAGATGGCGGCTCTATCAATCACTGATGCCGATATGGTGAAAATTGAATCAAGCACTGTATTTGTCCACATGCTATGATAATCCCCGATGAGCCGACGGTGCCAGTCCTTCTGTCTTCCTCATCTCATGACGCAGTACTAGGGAGTTCCGGACTCTTCAGGCTAAGTGCCTACGAAGAGATGGCTAGTATTTCTACTGCAATCACTTGCACCTCAACAGTTTATACACTTGTTATTCGCTCGGCAATTTATGCTGACGATTACGAACTCCCGATTGTCGGCAAGTATCCGATCGCGGTTTTCGAATTCACTGGTACTTCAACGTGAAAGTGCCGTCTATGTGGAGGAAGGTGGCGATTGACTGGATATTTATAGCGACGGAGACGCAAGTTACCCGGTTGAAAACTGCGCCATTGAGTTGGTCGCGGAGAGTTGCGATGAGAGAACACCGGAGGCTGAACCCATGAATGAGGATAAAGGTGCTTCTCCTTTGCTGTTTATCACAGTGTTCTGGACACATTGAACTCCAATCATCGGTCCCACATCGTCATCATGTGAACAGGATATAGGGTAATCTTTTTCTACCCTTTAGTGGAAGGCACCTGGGTTCGGGACCAGACAAGGTTATCGCAGACTGCGATTTGCAGTCCGCTCGGCTGTGACTCGTCCTCTTATGAAAAGGTTAACTACCTCGTATGTCTTCGAATATTTATTCATCACCACGATCTAAATTACCGGTTTGACTTCATTGGTGGAATGTAACCTACTTCTGTAGTTGAGTGATGATGGTTTCGTTTTTTTGAATTTTTATTATAGCCCGTGTTGTTGTTATCGACCCACAAAGGCCCGCTCAGCATGTCTTGGGTGGTATTCAGAAGGTCTGCCCGGCTTGTATGATACAGCCAGAATTGTTCTCCTTCTCCTGCATTCTATTGCATAGTCGGTACTCGATCATTTTCTCGTGTACTCAATCAGGTTCCGCACCAACGAAGATCAAGTATTGGTATCGACCAGTGTTGCCGCGAGAGGCTTGGATTTTCCGAACGTGACATTAGTAATTAACTACGATATGCCTGAGAGTAGGACTATCGACTGCTTCCCGCATAATGCTGAGGCCACCCTCTCTATGTGGCTGTGCTATTAACACATACAATGCGTGCCTACTAGGTATTGAGACATATACGCACCGAATAGGCCGGACAGGCCGTATTGGTCACGAGGGTCGCGCTATCGCATACTACAACCCCGCCAGCAAGGACAGACGAATTGGTGATGCTCTTATTGCCTTCTTGAGGAAGTATAATCAGCCAGTTAGCGAAGAGCTTAAGAATGCAGTTCGGCCAAGGCGGGTAAGGAAAACTTTTACAAAAATGACTACAAAATGATATCACCGAAAATGACTCTTTTTTCAGAACTCATATAGAAGGCAATATCGTGGACATGCCTCCGACCGGAGCGGACCAGGTGAGGTTTGGCGCGGCAATGATGGTGCTGTTACCTTTCTACAGGGAATTCGCCATCGAGCGATCGTTGGAGTTACAGCAGCTCGAGTCGCCGTCAAGGTCGTTCCCAGGATCGTGGCGACTATCATCATTACCGTTCTGGGAGGGATAGGTCCTCTCGATACAGCTCGTGGTGACCAGTGAGACAGACTCTCGTGTAACGATAAGGTTTCTACTTGCTGCGTTACGTGTCGAGTTTTGTCGAAAAAAATTGTCTTTGGAATTCGAGATCATTTTGTCATTTTCACATATGCTGTTTCAAGTTGAAACTTTCAACACACTGCCACCACGCGCAATACACGAGTGTAAAGGTCGTCCATGTTTCCTGAAATCTTGATAGATCTGGAACTGATCGCCGATGGATGCGAAAATAGCATCATCTGAGATCATCGGGTCTGTTATGCATCGTGTTATCAATAGTCGGACCCATCTCCTTGTGAGATTGAGTCGTGAAGGTTCTACAGTGAGTTTCACGATGGAGTGGTTGGGGGAATTTCGCAGAACTAGATCGTTTTGCTCGGCGAGCGTCTGTAAATGGAAGTCCGCGCAACGGTTGTGAGTAGCGAATGTGATAAATTACAGACCGCGACTACTCGGGTATAGTCGATGAATGGCAAGCATAAACAATGACATAAACAACTTGTTCAGCTTGTTTAGAACAAGCTATGGCAACAGAAGCATATTCCAGGAGTAATGGCATTTGCAACGGAACGACATAGAATGGCAATCAGCATTTATCCACCATCATCATAATTACGATCATCATCACCGATATCGTTGTACTCAAACTGTCAAGCCTGAAACATCCACTTAGTGGACTCCACTGTTCTATTCCGGTGGGATAGACAGTGGAATGCAACGACAGTAATATCAGGTGACCTCAGTGAACCAGGTGTGATAAGGCGGCTGGATCTTTACTGTACTCCAAGTTCTACTCGCCGCACAGATATGACCGCTCGAGCGATGCGAGGCTACTAGCTCAGTGTGACATGTAACGAAATGGTTTTTCTGTGTTGATGATGTCGACGTAAAGAGCCTTACACTTTGTCACCGTGTTGAGACCTACGAGTTTGGTGATCGTTTCACCGCTTTTCGTGGCGATATCATTAACTGCTGAGTTTGGTTGAACCATATTGGTCCCACGGTCGATCGATACTCGCACATGCACTATCCTTAACGAGAATAATATTAACGAGTCACAGTCTGTTCGAATGCGTCTGCTTTCTCAAAGTTAGATTTTCAAAACTCTCGATCATTTAGAATTGATGACAAAAACCAAACCATTCAGCGTGAAGGAAAAGGCAGAGTTCAATCAATACTGGTATTCTCCCAATACCATCGAGACTCTCGTAGGCGAACTGCTATCTATTCATCAGCACAAGAACCTAGATGAGCCTCTACGTGTTGCCTGCCTCTCAACACCTAGTGTTTACTTCACAGTGGCCGCAGCGCCCGAGCTCTCGGACAAGCTCGAGTGCTGGTTATTCGATTTCGATACCCATCTACTGCAAGGTGAGAAGTGTGTCAAGTTCGACTATCGAAAGCCCAAGGAGATAGCCGAAGATCTGCAGCACACTTTCGACTGTGTGGTCATCGATCCTCCCTTTATAACAGAAGAAGTTTGGAATAACTACGCCGAAGCTGCGAAGCTGTTGGTCTCGACTGATGGGGTTTTCATCGGCTCGAGCGTCCGCGAGAATGGAGACTTGCTATGGAAGCTGCTTGAGATGACGGCAGTACCGTTCCAGCCATCGATACCAAATTTGGTGTATCAGTACGACTTCTTCACAAACTACGTCTTGGAAGGTCCGTTCAGGCATATCAACAGTGAGGTGTAGCATGAATCTGTCGTGATGAGAATTGAGTTTGCGTGCATCGTCTCCGTGTTGGTGTTCACCAGTGGGGTGATTGTATTGGAGGGCATGAAGTGCTAGGAGGTGGAAATCATGAGCGCGCCCGAGATGTACGATTGTTCCCTAAGTGATGTTGCGGTGGATAGAAGGGTAGAGAGTGCGAGGCGAGATGAGTCTTGTGTAGTTGTTGGTCCACTTGAATCGTACTTTTTCTTTTGAGTGGGTGAGGCAGGTCCCTTGGTGAGTTGGATGCTTGTGGATCTGCTGATGGCAGAAATCATGGCTCCACTCTCCATCGGGACCTCGCGGTATCAAGGATCATTTCATGGCTCAAGGGCGGAATTGTCGAGTTCGACAAGTGGGTGGGACTGCGATGAGCGAGGTGCTTTGCACAGTAAAACAGATTAAATAGACTAGTATGCGGAATACAACAGAGCGATCTGTAGTATGTAGACTTCCGTTCTAAACTCTATCATGCATTCACTGTGTGTAATGCGCATGATCCGACGCGATGAAGATGAATAAAAGTTTCATCAACATGATGTGGATCGAGGAGATACTAACAGTTATATGATATCAATCTTTGCAGTAGAAACGGTCTAGAGACATGGCCAATCTAGCTGGTAGTCGTCGGCCCCGACTAGCGAACAAGACACTCGCGTTCTCTCACTGAAACATGCGAACAATAGGAACATCACTGAGTCTGCTGAAGATTCTTCGGAGTCATGCCTTGCGCTTTCCATTCGGTCAAGCTCGTTCGACGCAGCTCCGTCTCAAGTCGTCTCTCGAACTCTGATACAGCAACAACCAGTGTAGGTATCAATCTATGAATATATATGTTCGCTTTCCTCCGTTGAGTTCAGAAATTTTCTCACTGATTAACGAACTCGGGTAGAGGTGTACAAAAACCACTGTAGTTGTCACCAACATATGTAGTTGATCACTGGCAGGCATGGAATCAGGTCGACCACCAATACCATTATCAGCCTCTCGTCTTTTGTAACTCCACAACGCCATCCCGAGAGCAACTACTGTCGCTGTTGCCAATAATGCAGAAGTTGATCGCCGAGATGCCCGCATTAGAGAGCTTCTGGAAAGGTATCAATTTCGATTCCGGAAAGAAAACCACCCACTGTGAACGCAACGTACAAGTCTTTACTACAAGTATTATACAAATGTACGACGCATATGAACTTGTAGCGCCGCTCTCGATCAATAGCAACAAAAACGACGACATGATATCATCTAGTCTAAGTGCACAGCTCTGCGCTATTACAGTCCATAATTCGCGAGAACAAATTCCTCGCCGATCATATGAGATAAATGACCAAAAAAAGGACAGACACAGCGCTGAACAAACCCATGTAGCCCGCCAAAATCGCGCAACCGAACCGCGGCTGAGGGCATTATAACAGAGAGCACGCCATGATGTAGCTAAGGTAGAGGGGTAGCGTTAGGTACGTTACGTTAGAAAGAAGGCATAATGGTAATAGTAGCAACAAGACGTTCAAAAAGATGATATCGCGCGTCTTCTCGGAGGCGTGACCGGAGCTCGTCCCAAAACGTTCAACTCTTCAGCATGGGAGTGAGCAGCCTCTGCTTGTAACTGACAGTAAAATATCGATTTCAGCAATATAAGATTTTTTGATCAGATTCAGATATCCCCGAGTGCTACTTTAGTCCGTCGCCGACGCGTTAACCGGTGTTTATGATACTTCAACTTTGATCTCAAAACTATCTCTTCCTCGCTGCTCAGTAGCTCCTTCACCACATACTTCGGACTTCGTTCTTCACATTGGTAGAAAACGACATGCTCGCCGTCAGCGTCAGTCTTCAGCATTTTGAGATCTTTTGGACTACGGGGCCGTATTGGAGTTGCCACTGTGGTGGGAGTAAACACAGTGGGGGCCACCTGTGGGAAAATACAGTGCGTGCCAATTTGATATGTAAATGTAGAGAATGTGCGTCGTTTTCCATTCCGGGATTAATGATAGTGAACAACTTGTCGCTATCACAGTCTCGAAAGGTTACTTTCATCACATCACATGTTCATAGGAATGTTAACATTGTTTATGCGATATAGTTTAATCTTGAACTGTACCTCTACCATAATTTCCGGATATAACTATGCACTCACTCGCGAGATGATACAAAAAAACAAAGTTCATTAGTGGATACCAGTAGCCTAGAACTATTTCACATGTCACTTGAGCACGCGGCTCTGCTATCGGCGAAAATATAAGAAAAATTTTCTTACATTTTCTGGTGTGGATTCTTCAACCCGACGCTTCTGATCTTCTTTGATGAGCTCATTTCTCTTCTTCTCTTTGCGATTACTGCGGACCAAGCACCAAGCTGATAGCGCCAACGCTAAGCCCAGTAAGAGGAACATACACTGAATTAGCTGGAGCTTTCGTGGTAAGGACCGCCACACCCTGAGAGAGATCAATAACTAGCAAAATTATATACAACTTTTGATGGAAAAAATCGTGGTGAATCGGAGGACTGATATAATTTAAATACAAAGAATGGATCAGAAAAGGCAGCTAGATTTGTAAAAGGCTTCGATTTGCTATGGACTAGCATAACTAGAGTACTAAATCCTCACTAGTGGAAGTGTGAGATCATACGTAACTCATAAATGTAACAACACTACGAGCTGATCACAGAAGCACCCCAGACGATCGTGATCGGCTACCCTGCAACGTTCTGTTCCCAACCCGGCGGGGCAGGGAGGGAGTTGATGATGACTTCATTGAGCGAGGCGAGGTTATCCCGGACGCGAGCCACAGTGACGCCGAAGGTTGGTAATGTGGACCAAAAGTTGAGTACCAACTCTTCCCCACTTCGGAAGAGCATCACCATATAAGGGTAAAACTCTGATCGCGAAGAGAATCACTCGTTCGTGGTTGGCAACGGAAATGTATTAGACGTAAAAATTGAGCGTGCGTACGACCGTGAGATTTTTGGGCGTGGCGAGTAATTTCCGGGCGCAGGAACCTCATTTGAACCTTTTGCGGGAACCTCATACCTCATTTTTCTAAGAACCTCATTTGCGGGTCTGAAAAACCTCATTTGCGGGTCTGAAAATGAGGATAGTTCTCCATCCAGCCTGGGAATTCGGTGCGACGTAATGCCGCTGAAATAAGCTCACGGAGTTCGGTCAAATCAAGGGAAGAAAAAATGGAAGAACTTCTGGTTGGGGACTTATTTGCTTTACCGAATTTTTTACTTTATTCCGTGTAGGAGTTTATGAACTAGTAGTAGAGGAGGCTTGAGGTGAGCTGGCATGAGGAAGGTACTGTGAGTTACTTTGAGCGCCTTGTTCGCTATTGAATCAATGTATATATGCTTCACGTATCAAAAGCCTGTTTCGCTCGTAGTAGAATCAATTAACTTACTGATGGCGAGATTGGAATTATTTTGATAGTGTCAACTCATTTGGTTGCAGTCAGGCATATCTTTGGGGTTGTGGCATATCGGCCCCACACGGAGAAATTGCTTCAGGGTTGTGGCATATCGGCCCCGGCCTGAAAAATGGCTATAGGGTTGTGGCATACCTGCCCCGCTCTGAGAAAGGCTTTAGGGTTGTGGCATATTTGCCCCGCACTTAAAAAATTGGTTGAATATTTTTGCAATTTTCCCATTTTTTTTCGTTTTTTCCCAATTTTTCGGATTTTTCCGATTTTTTTTCGTCATTTTGCCATTCTGATTGTCCTTTCTACATTCTCTTCTTTCGAGTCGCCTTTCCCATTTATATCCTCCAGGCAGGAGGGAGTTCCTGTTCCCATCTAGTCGTTTTTAATGCTACTCCCATCGCGGCCATCGCCCCTTCTAGCTATGGTCATGAGGACGCGATCCCTGTCGCGGTTTGCTGGCAGCTGCAGGCCGCTGTGTGTCTCCAGTCAAAGCCGCTAGTAGGTGGGGGAGTGTCTTTGGGTTCGACTATCTCTTGAAATTTGATGAGGCGATTGAGTTGTTTTCAGCGTGTGAATTCCAGAAATGGATTAATTTTCATTACTCCTAATTGATCAGCCTCATCGCTCAGTTGCTGTGTGCGCGATTAGTAGTACATAGTCGTATTTTCTCGAGGTAGAAAAGGAGTGGTTTCGAAGTACCCTGTCGAGACTCGCTCGACTCTGCCTCTTGATATTCCTCAGTTGGGTCATCAAGAGATATCCCTGCGTCCGATATTTGTCCGTCCAAGCTGCGACGGAAAGTCCACCCCCACTTCCTGTCAAAATGGGCACGTCATTCGAACCTTGGTGGAGCTCTGAAGACATTGATGAGGGGGTTCGGGCGGGAACGGTAGTAAGGAGGGGTGGACTGTTGACGTCTTCATACGACTATCGACTTCTCACTTCGGATAACTCTAGTTAACTCGAGATATAGTTTTCTGGGAAATTTTAGATCTAAATGAATATTAAGTAACTTCGGTAATGTAATGGTTGGAATATATGTTTGCTTTCCTCAGCTGAGTTTGGGAGTTTCCTCACTAGTTTTAGAAATTCATATACGAATTCGGGCGGAGGTTTATAGAAACTAATGAAAATATTCCAAATTTCCGCTCAAATTCTCGTATTGTCACCATTCAATGTAGTTGACCATGTGCATATTTCCCTCCAGTGGTTGAAGTAGATGATAATCGTGAATACGTGTATGATTCCCTTATCAGCCGTGTCTCTGGTTTCGTCGGTGTTCTAGTATTTATAGGCATTTTTCCATCACTATTACTACACTTTAATGATGTAGTTATGACCACGTTGAGAGCCGCTCGCAGGTTCGCTATGGAAGACTCCACGTACCGGCTTTCGAGACGAATCAAGCTTTCGTTGATCTTGATCCCGACGAGGAAGGTCGGAGAATTCGCGTGAAAGTGCCTGGGTTTATCGCGAGAAATCGCGCTGTGCATGGAGATCGCGTTGCGGTAGTTTTTACAGTGTTACTCGTAGTGAAGGATTTTCATTAGGCCCGTCTTATGTGGAAGGCATATAAGCGGGAAAGTAGCAGTAGTGACAGCACTGAGGAAGATGAAGTGGCTGCAGTGGGCTGCATAGAGGATGCCAGGGCCCGAGTGGTGGCGGTAGTATTAGGGTACTTGTATAGGAGTATCGGAAAAAGGGGCCAATCTGTCGTAATTTCTCAGCCGATGTGAATATTAGACAGAATATATCTGCGTTATTTGATACTCACATGCGTTTTTTTCTCTGCTGCTACGTGAATTCTTACCCCACACTCCCTTGTTGGAAGGGGTTTATACGGTGTTCATAGTCCACGCTTATCTAGGGTGATCAAAAGGACGAAAGCAATGCCTCGTAATTTCTGAGAAATTATTTCTCAGGAATGATATATGCGTTTATTCACAGGCGCTTTTTTCGAACAACCCCTGTAGTAGGTAGGGGCGAAAGCCTTCTTGAGAGGTGGCCGATTTGTTATCGTCGTGTGAAGTTTGTCGTCCAGGACTGTCATGGGATGAGGATCGAACCTGCGAGAGTTGTTAGGTAACGAAGCGGTGCGAGACGCCTATTGTGGGTGTAGTGCGGCCAGGGGAAAGCAAGGTCCAGCCGAGAGACCAACGCTTGCCTGCTATGGATTTAGTTCAACCGTAAGAAGGTTTGATGGGCTCTTGTGAGGGATTGTTAGATTCGCTATGGCTTCGGAGGAGGAGGAGGAGGAGTCGGCTCAGTTGGTGGCTTGTGAGATCGTTGAGTGGGAGGAGGCCAGGGTGAATCCGAAGTGCAGACTGGTAAGGTTAGTTGTGGTATGGAAATTGGATTTTATTGGTCTATTGAGAATTTCGCTATGTAATCATAAAAGTCGATGAAAATCTAGTGTGGTTGAGATTTTCAATCAAGGTTGGATTGTGTGATACAGTGTTGGAGTAGGAATATATGTTCGCTTTCCTCAGCTGAGCTCAGGAGTTTTCTATACAGTGTTGGAGTAGGAATATATGTTGGCTTTCCTCAGCTGAGCTCAGGAGTCTCCTATACAGTGTTGGAGTAGGAATATATGTTCGCTTTCCTCAGCTGAGCTCAGGAGTTTTCTATACAGTGTTGGAGTAGGAATATATGTTGGCTTTCCTCAGCTGAGCTCAGGAGTCTCCTATACAGTGTTGGAGTAGGAATATATGTTCGCTTTCCTCATCTGAGCTCAGAAGTTTCCTATACAGTGTTGGAGTAGGAATATATGTTCGCTTTCCTCACCTGAGCTCAGGAGTTTCCTATACAGTGTTGGAGTAGGAATATATGTTCGCTTTCCTCAGCTGAGCTCAGGAGTTTCCTATACAGTGTTGGAGTAGGAATATATGTTCGCTTTCCTCACCTGAGCTCAGGAGTTTTCTATACAGTGTTGGAGTAGGAATATATGTTCGCTTTCCTCAGCTGAGCTCAGGAGTTTTCTATACAGTGTTGGAGTAGGAATATATGTTGGCTTTCCTCAGCTGAGCTCAGGAGTTTTCTATACAGTGTTGGAGTAGGAATATATGTTCGCTTTCCTCACCTGAGCTCAGGAGTTTTCTATACAGTGTTGGAGTAGGAATATATGTTGGCTTTCCTCAGCTGAGCTCAGGAGTTTCCTACACAGTGTTGGAGTAGGAATATATGTTGGCTTTCCTCAGCTGAGCTCAGGAGTCTCCTATACAGTGTTGGAGTAGGAATATATGTTCGCTTTCCTCACCTGAGCTCAGGAGTTTCCTATACAGTGTTGGAGTAGGAATATATGTTCGCTTTCCTCACCTGAGCTCAGGAGTTTTATAGAACTCGGGTGGAAGTGTACAGGAACCAATGAGAATTGCTCGAAATTTGCTCAGAATTTGGGAATAAATGACAAACTTTGGAAAAGACTAGTAGCCTTCTATGAACGTAAAGCTAACGAGGGGTATGCGTATCGTCTTAGGTGGAGCACTTGGGAGGAGTGGGAACAGGAGTAGCTGAACACCGCGCTGTGATGGAGCGGTATGGCCTCACTAGTGTTGAGTATAGTGAGGAGATTGAGGAGGAATTGAAGGCGAAGTAGTGATGGGTGATCGCAGTAGGGAGTATTCATAACAGTGTTGTAATATATGTTCGCTTTCCTCAGCTGAACTTAGGTGTTTCCTCACTAACCATAGGAGTTCATATACGAACTAGGGTAGAAGTGTACAGAAAGCAAGAAGAATTTAGCCAAATTTCCTCAGAATTCTCATATTGTCACCAACATATGTGGCCGACCATGTGCATATTTTCCCACACTGCAGCACATAAGGATTATTATTACGATTATCTAGGATATATCGTTATATAACGATAAGGTATTTAATTATGATATAGTTTATAATAATAGACATAATAATATGAAGTATTTTATGGCCAGCTTATCATATATATAATAATTACGATTACTTATTGCTGGCCTTTTGATGCTGATTCATTTTGCTTCGCTCCGCCTGGATTTTATCAATCCGTGTGAAAATGCGGAGGAATTTATGTTCGCTATCCTCAGCTGAGTTTAGGAGTATATATACGAATTTGGGGAGTAATGTACAAAAAACAACAAGAAGAATTTTCCGGAATTTTCCCACACTGGACGCGACTGTAGTGACGTTGGGCTCGAGTGATCACACTTGGTAATCTTGCAATCTTGCATTTCCTCAACGGAAGAATTTTTGTGGCTTTTAGACTCCCCTCATCTGAAGCAGTAGTTAATGCCGCACTGAAAGGGAAGGGCCCTAGGAGGTGGGATTTGAGGAAATGTAAGGGAGAGCAAGATGAGCAAGATTTGTGGTATATAGTGTGTTTTGTGATTAGCTCATCGTGTGGTATCGATTGACCCGCCGAGTGCTCGAGATTTGGACGATGCGCTTTCGGTGGAGGTGAAGTCTGGGGGAAGGTTGAGAATAGGAGTAGGATGCTGGGATGGACGTCACCTTCTGTGCATTTTGCAGTTGCACGCATACACATACGTTTAGCTAAGTTTGAGCAGATGGCTCTTGTGAGATCTAATCGGCCGTTAACTACAGAAGTTGAGTTGCCCAGTCACACATCCATAGTTGTCTGAACATCTACCTTAGCGACAATAATTTTAGTGTTGCCGCGTATGGCTAGGAACACATTCTTCGATCAGTTTCCCTTATGTGAATGATGTCATCATTTTTTTATTGTTATTGTGAAAGTTAGCTGGGTGCCGGGATCGAACCGGAGACCTCTGGGTTGGTCGTCAGGTTCACGTGGCAGATGTATCGCATTTTGTAGCGGCTCAATCTCATCTGGATAGGGAGGCGGCGAGGAGGGCGATCACTGTGTATATGCCTCATAAGGTGAGTTGCGAGAAAGTTGGTATTACACGCATACCGTAAATCAATAAATTCAGACCTATCCTATGCTGCCGAGGCACCTGTCGGAGAACCTGTGTTCGCTACTTCCTGGGGAAGACCGTCTGGCATTTAGCGTTTTCTTCACGTTGGATGCTGCTACGGGTGAGCTTATAGAATTTTGAGGATTTGTAATCGAGGTTGAGAAAATTTATGTTCGCTGCGCTAAGGAGTTTATGTACAAATCAGAGTAAAAAGTGATCAGAAATAAAAAAAAAATTCCGGAAATTTCGTCGACCTTTCCTTACATGTAGTTGACTGTGTGTCGATCTTTGCGACCGATTGGAATGCACTCGCGTCACGGAATGAGAATCTGGACTTCCCTTTTCAGGCGATCTGTGTGGAGATGAGCCTGTCGCCTTTGGTAAGAGTATTATAAGGAGTTCAGCTCGACTGAGTTATGATGAAGTTGATGCTGCTATGGGAGCCGAGACCAAAGGCGATGCTTTTCAGATTGGTAGGTAGGGAATATATGCTCATTGTGTTGATAAAATATGGGAATCCTGGGAAAATTTTTTTTAGGATTTATCGATTTTTTTGCATATTTTTACTCATAGATTTTCATAATGTAGTGAGGAAACTTATGAGCTCAGTTGAGGAAAGCAAAGATATATTTCCACACTGGTAAATTTGAATGGGAGTTTCAGATCGCGCGATCCTGGAAGACATTCGGCTGCTGTGGGACGTGGCTGCGAAGAGAAACGCCTCTCGTGGTGATGATACTATCAGAGTTAGTTCATCGAAGGTAAATCGATCATCTGGGCGTGCGCTTATTGCATTGCGCAGGTAAAATTCGAATTTGCATCGGCAGATTCATTGATACCAACGAAGTGCTGGTCGGAATCACCATCGGATTTCAGCACTCCGAATAGCCACTCCTTGATAGAGGAGTTTATGGTAGAATAAACTCATTTGGTGGTTCATGATGATTCTTCGCGATAAAATTTGTTGAGATGCTTGTGGTTCGTCGTTATTGGAAAAGTCATATTAGTAGGGTGAGTAATAGTAACTTGTCGTTGCTATATTGTCTTGGAGTATATGTTCGCCTTCTTCAGAGGGCTAAAGAGTTTGCATACGAAATCGGGTAGAAACCAATAAGAATTGCTCGCAGTTTTCATGTTGTCACCAACACATGTAGTTGACCATGTACATATTTTCCTCCGACACTAGGGCGTTGCTGAGGTGACTACACAGAGGCTGAGGCGCCCCCCTCTACTGCATTAACGCCTACTGCTGTTGAATTTGGTTACTAGTGGAGCATTCAGGATAGTGAATTTCGCACGGAAATGCCTTTTTCGCATATGAGGAAAGCTACTCGTGACTACTCCTTGTGAACTGCATAGGTTTTGGCTAATCGTCTGGTGGCCGAGCGTTTGGTGGAGGGAATTGACGTGAATGGAAAGTCACCACCGCCGATTCTCAGACAGCATCCTAACACTGAGGCTCAGGTGGGTCCCGGGTTCGATCCCCGGTAGTGTTATTTAGGAATCTTGGCTCAGGTTTTGGAGACGATATTGCCCATTCTTCGACGGGGTTTCCCAGATTTCGACTGGGGGCAGGGGCGATCCTTAGCTGAGCTTCTGGTAGACGCTCGGAAGGTCCTCCCAGAGCCTTGTTTTAAAGCACTGTCGTTTGAAGCGATGGTGGCATTCCAAATGGCGCAGTATGTTGTTGTTACGGATGCTGTTGGAGAGGATACTTCTCATTGGGCACTGGGGCTCGGACGGTATATGCATTTTACCTCCCCGATTCGGAGATATGCTGATGTGCTGGTTCACCGCCTTCTGACGGACCTGGTTTGCGAGGGAGCTGCGGTGTATGAGCATGGAGTGGAAGAGTTGATTCGGGCGACTTCGCGTTGCAATCAGATTCGGAAAGGCAGTTTGGAAGCGGATCGGGAGTGTGCGTATTATTTTTTCAGCGATTATGTGCGGGCGAATTATCCCGAAAGCGGAATGGTTTTGAACGATTTGGTGGTGACGAAAATTTTCCCAGGGAAGGAGGTGGCGAAGGGAAAATTCACGAAGGATGCGATTGAAGTTTTTGTGCCTTTGGTGGGATATTCGAAAAGTGTGTCACTGGAGCAAATAGGAGTGGGGGAAGTTGAGGAAATTACTCCGGATCATGTGACGTTTTTACACGGGGAAAAACGAATGGAATGGAAGACGCTGAGTGTGGTGTCGATGAATGTGGTATGTCCGAGTGGAGATGACTCGGTGTTGAAGCACTGGACGCTACGGCTGCCCTCGAACGAAGCTTCACAGCAAATATCTGAGCGTAAAGACGGAGTTGTGCCTAGGAGTATCCGAAAATCTTCAGAGTGTGTTAAGAAAGATGTATCTAAGGATATCCGAAAATCTTCAGAGTGCGTTAAGGGAGGCATGTCTAAGGATATCCGAAAATCTTCAGAGTGCGCAAAGGAAGGCGTATCCAAGAGTATCCGAAAATCTTCCGAGTGCGTTAAGGATGGAGTGTCGGAAAGTATGCGGAGAACAGCATGTAGCCGACCCCCTTTACCTAGTTCGGTGGTGAACACTCGGATACCACCACCGCCGCCGCCTCCCTCTCTTCCTCCGGTGAAGTGTCCTGTTCGACCAGTGTTGCCGCTGTTGCCAGAAGGGGCGGCCTTTGCAGTTTTACGGGCCCGAATAAAGAGCTCGGTGCGGGGATCGAACTCGGGTGCATCGGTTGGTAGTTGATGTGTTTTAACGTGTTGTTCCTGAATGAATTAGAGTTTCTGGCTCGAGTAGTGTTGTGCGAAGTTGGCGTGGAAGTATGAAGTGGGGGCGGAGAAATATGCGGCAACGAAAATTCTGATGAAAATTTGGGAAATTCTCGTTGGTTTCTGTAGTATGTTACCTTCTATAAGGAAACTCCTAGACTCAGCTGAGGAAAGCAAACAGATAATTTAGTACTGTCGTAGGAAAATTTTGATCTCCGAGTGGCTCAGTGTGGGAAAATCTGCCCCTGCTCGACGACGTGTGTCTGTGACAATATCGAAATCGCGCGAAGATTTATGGGGCATTTTATTCGTACGAGCTCGGGTAGAAGTGTTTAGAATTTTCCTCAGAATTTCCATAAACACATAGTTGATTACTGGGGTAGCTTTTCCCTGTAGTTTGTTCCTACTGTTAATGGCTGAGACCATTGAGGACACAGCGACGCCTAGAGAGGTTCTGCAGAGGGTACGGTTGAACGAAGTAAGTATATTCTAGTGGGACGAGGAAAGGGAAGGTCCTGTCAGATTGAGATTTGCCCGGCGTTGTGGCAGTGGCTATTGCAGCGATGGGTTATCGGGAGGAAGCACCACGAGGAGTCGGTCGCTAGGGATTCGGCGGAGCTGGGGGCGGAGGTGATACTGGGCTGAATCAACTGATGTGGAGTTCCCCTGATTATTAGAGATTCAGGGGGGAAGTTAATGAAATTTTAATTCTCACCAACACATGTAGTTGACCATGTGCATATTTCCTGTGTGTTTGACAATATGGAGATTTTGAGGAAATCTGGGGAGATCGTTGTTGGTTTTTTTACACGTCTACCCGAATTGGAGTGTGAACTTCTATAGTTGTTGAGAACCTCTTGAACTCAGCTGAGGAAAGGGAGTATAAGAGTTATGTTTAACACATATACTATTCTTACTTTTTACGAGTTTTTGTGTAGTGTCAGTTGGAAATTTGCCGGTTTTTCTATCAGATTCTCACGAGCCTCCCTCCCGATGCGGTGGTGATCTATCCGTTTCACACTACGAGCCTTCTCTCTCTCATCACCGCTGTTGTACCCGTCTCTCCCGGGAGTGCCAAAAATCTTCTCTGTGCGCTCCGTGAGCGTTGTGGCACATCTTGGGCGCCTCCTGTGGAGTCCCTATGTAAGATGCTCGGCTCGAAGACTTGTACTGAATTTCGCGAAGAGCTCATGGAGCACATATCGCTAGCTTTGGATGCGCAACCGGCTGGGAAGAAACCGTTCAATGCGGTGGTGAAGCATTTGGGAGAACTTGAAGGTTCCGGCGCGGCAGTGGTTGTTGATCGATTGTTCGCGAAAAGTTATTGGGATGGATTTTCGAGATTGTTGTTGGAAACGAACGTGAAAGGTTCACGACCAATTCAAGAGCAACTATTCAAAGCTGTGGGGAATTTGTCGTGCGAGAAGCGAGCGAAGGCGTTACCATTACTGTTAGAGAGGTATTTTAGGGCGGAGGCTCCGGAGGGATTCAAGTTTTTCGCGCGTTTAGCAGAAATGACGGAGGACCTTGAACTGATCTCAACCATGTGGAGAATGGTGTCGAATAATCACAAGTATCGATTGCGCGAAGACACTGATGGAAGTCAGAGAAAATCTTTGAAGTGTTTTATGCAAAAATGCTGTGACCAGAATTTCCCAAAGGGCGTCGCTACTGGTCTGGTGGTTGATTCGGTGAGTCATTTGGAATTCCTATTACGGGAGGTGTGGAATGTCGATGCTGAGGGAACCGCAGAGATGCATCTTGGCTTGATACGCGCGTTACTCGAGAAAGGAGATTTGGTGGCATATTTTGATGCTTTTGTGAAGAACGTGAATTCCCGGGGAGTAACAGCGCTGTCTTCATCCGCGAGATGGTATAAGGCAGTGTCGGGGTTGTTGGTGGACGAAGGAGAGTCTATTCGAGCGGCGGTGGTGCAGCAGGGAGTGGAAGCGGTGGGGCGGCTCATGGAGCATCGGGGAGAAGGAGAGGTTATTGAGAGAATGATGGGTAGGTCGTCGCTGAACTGAGTTGGTTAACGAAGTTGGGTGTGTTCATGTTTTATGGTGTAACATAAACATGTTCATGATATATCATATATATTATAGTGCCAATTTGATATGCAAATGTGGAGAAGGTGCGTCGTTTTCTATTCCGGGATTAATGATAGTGAACAACTTGTCGCTATCACAATCTCGAAAGATTACTTTTATCACATCACATGTTCATAGCAATGTTAACATTGTTTATGCGATATAGTTCAATCTCGAAGAATAACACACAGTTGCATATCAAATTAAAACATATACTTACTTCCATACAGGCCCTTGCTGAGATGTTCTTGGTGTTCGGTCAGGTGCGGTATTAGAAGGTCTTCGACCGCTGGAGCACCAAGTAGCACTCGTGCGTCAGCTTGTTGATGACATGTCTGGGACTACATGCAAGCCTCTAGCCGTAGCTCTCACTGCTACCCGTCAGCGGTTGGACGGATGGAAACTGCCAACAGAGGATGTCATTTCTGATGAAAAAACCGTCAAATTGGGTCACTCTGTTGACTCATTGTTGGTAGGGTTAAACGTCGTGTTTCTGATGGCAGTTCCTTGCAGGTGGAAGTGCTCGCCTCCCTCTCTTCGTTTCGATATGATGACAAAACGATGCGGAAATGTTTGCGTAAACTTCAGCGCCACTGGGAAACTGGCACGTCGGAGTTGATCTGGAAAAACGATCTTGTAAGGGGGGTTGGAAAAATTCGGCTTTTTACGAGGAGAGTTTATATCATCGGGGAATATGGTTGGTTTCCTCAGCTCAGCTCGCTACGTTGTGACGAATTTTGAAAACAGAAACTAAGATGATTGAGAATATGTAGTTGACCATATGTATAACTTCGCGCGTGCTCTACTGTGTTGATTCCAATATGGAAATTCTGAGGAATTTCTGGCAAACTCTTATTGTTTCCTGTACACTTCTACCCGAATTCGTAGGCTAATTTCTATAATAATGTGAAGAAAGCGAACTCGCAATTTCACCAACTTGTGTTTTTCCCAGAGTCCCAATATCGGCGCTATCGTAGCATCGGCGGAGGAGGACACCATCATGGAAATCGCTGATATTATCGTTGACCATGTAAGGGGAAAGGAAAGGGGAAGTTGCTGGTTCACGACAGTGTTGGAATATATGTTTGGTTTCCTCAACTGAGCTCTCCTAACTTTCCTCACAATATTATGAGATTCCACACACGATTTTGATTAGAAGCGTACAAAAACTAAGGATAATTTCCCCAAATTTTCTCAGAATTTCCCTATTTTTTCCAACACATGTAGTTTACCCCACTGCATGACAGTATTGAAATATATGTGTTTGGTTTCCTTCACTACATTATGGAAAATTCACACACGATTTTGCGCAGAAGTACGTAAATGTTCTGCCTCTAGTGGGAATGGATATGCGCGTTCCACAGTATACTTCTGAGGCTCACATTTTTTGAGGTTCTCCATAATTGGTGGGAAATGTGTTCAAGAAAATTATGAAAACCGATAATAATTTCCCGAAATTTTCTCGGAATTTTCGGGATATTGACACCGAAATACGTAGTTGACTATGTCAAAATTTTCCCACACTGTTTTATGATCACGATCAGGATCTTCCGTTTCAATGGCGGGCCTGGCCAGAAGCGCTCTCGTTGGCTGTCGGACAGAAAGTAGTTCAAAACGGCGATAATGAGAAGCTTGTGAGGAAAGCACTCAGCAGTGCTGCAGGTAACATTTAAGTTGAAATTTCTAACGTTTGGTCGTTGCGATATGGGATCAGCGACACATCTAGTTTTGAGAGATAACGTTCCTCAGGGTTTGATAACGATCGGGGAAATGTTACTAATGTGATGATGACATTTACATGGGAAACTGATTGAATAATGTGTTCCTAGCCATACGTGGAAAATTCAACAATGAGTCCCCCCCTGGGAAAATTATTGGTTTCTGGATGATTCCCTGTATGGAATATTGAATTTACGTGGTTGATGCAACTCTAATGTGCAAGTCAATAATTTTAAGACTTAATTTTATAATCAAGTCCGTTTTACGTGAAGTGGCGTAATTCTCTGTGAAAAAAGGGATATTCGCGGTGATATGTTTTTCATATCACTGGGGTGAAACTCCAGTGTAGGGAACTAAACATATATTCCAACACTGTCCAACACAGAGAGAGATATGTAGCTGTCGTGACATACATTTTCCATTAGTGATCTTCGTATCACTAGGGTGAAACTCTATTACTTCACTGAGTAAAGTAGTATATTACAGTCAATATGCATATTGATTCGTATGCGATGACCCGCGTTGCATTTTTTGTACTATGTAGTCGTGAAATAGGTTTTTCATATCACTAGGGTGAAAGTCCAATGTCGTAACACACTGAAGATGGTGAAGTTTCGTTTTCGTCATCGTTTTGATTATGACATACCGGTAGTTCGGAACTACAGTGGAGTTTCACCCTAGTGATATGGAAAACACTAGTGAAAAACATATTCCACGACTATTGCATATCACCGCGAATATCGCGTTTTTCACCGAGTTTTACGCCACTTCACGTAAAACGGGTTGTGAAACTACAGTGGCATCGTTCAGGTACTTCTTTTGTGTATCTCTCGTTAAAGCAGTTCGCTATCGAGGATCTCCCGGAGTTTATATTACCTCTTCCTGGTGGGCGAATTGAACTACTCAATGGACTTAACCGAGAGGATATGAGTAAGTGAGGGCTGGTGATGATAATGGAGTCTTCCCCGTGATGTGAGAAACTGATTTCACGACCACTGTATAGCGCGAGTATTGGATTTTTATCTACAGAGTATTACGTATTACGTCACTTCACGTGAAACGGGTGAAACTTCAATAGATTCCATCTAACTGTACAGTGCGTGCCAATTTGATATGCAAATGTGGAGAATGTGCGTCGTTTTCTATTCCGGGATTAATGATAGTGAACAACTTGTCGCTATCACAGTCTCGAAAGGTTACTTTCATCACATCACATGTTCATAGCAATGTTAACATTGTTTATGCGATATAGTTTCAGATAGATTAATATCCATCCCGCAAAATTACGCACATTTTACACATTTGCATATCAAATTTTTGCTCAGTGGAGTTCCACGCGTTTTACGCGAAGTGGCGTAATACTCTGTGAAAAAAGTGACATTCGCGGTGATATGCAGTAGTATTGTTTTTCATATCACTAGGGTGAAACTTCACCGTAAATGACAACTTACTGATGATGTTTATAACTTCCCGTAGCATCTCTCGTGTTTGCGAATGTGTTGGTATCAGACAACTCAACGAGAGTCGATAGTAAGTAGTTGTTAACTGCTGATCGCTACAATGGAGTTTCACCTTAGTGATATGAAAACACTAGTGTGAAACATATTTCTCGGAAACATAGATGGAGTATTACGCCACTTCACGTTAAATGGGTGAAACTCTAATAATCGTCTTGAAGCTCAGGCGGATATCGCAAGAATCTAAAATGTAGGATTGAAATTACCTCAATGTTGTTTTGGAATTTCATTTTTCGAAATCGACGTACTCACTTCATGAGGGTCAGATTCAAACTCGCCGATTGGACCATCGTTGAGATGGTCCCAAGCACAGCTATCAGCAGTTGGTGATGCTGTTGGTTCTTCGGTGAACGTTGATGCTGCTGCTGGGGCGTGCGCGTTTATGCTGAGAGCCGACCACAAGAGTTGCGATGCTGCGAAAAGTCTACAACGACTGTTGGGGGTAAGGGGTGTGGGAAAATATGTATGAAAATTCGGGTAAAATTTTTAGGGAATTCTCATAAGTTTCTGTACACTTCTGTACCCTAGTTCGTATATGTTCTTTCATAATAATTGACGAAATTGAGGTCAGTTGAGGAGAGCGAACATATGCTGCAACACTAGAGTAGGGGGTGTGGCAAAATTGCGGAGCGAGCGAAGCGAGCGGAGCGTATTCTCTCACTTTACTAACACTTTGTGCGTGCGTGCGTGCGTACAAATTATCCAGCTCGATCTAGAGAGGTTATGATCACATGCTATACACCGTTCGATAGCTCTCGCTCTGGGGATACCAGGAAAAATACGAAGTTAGGGTTCCGCCCGGACAATGTAGATTTCCGTGCAAAAAAAACATATTTTTGCATAAAAACGCCAGGCATGGGAATCGAACCCGGATGCCGAGCTCCGCCCCTTCTCCGAGAAGGCCTAGTGTGCCCATGGTCAACTACGTGTGTTGGTGATAATGTGAAAACTCTGAGAAAATTTTGGGAAATTCTAAAGAACAATTTCGTAATGGTTCATGTGCGATCTGAAATTTCTCCACTCAACGACTACTTAGGTTGAACGAGTGTATTTCGATTTAATATGCAAATGTGTGTTATTCTCCGAGATTAAACTATATCGCATAAACAATGTTAATATTGCTATGAACATGTGATGTGATTAAAGTAACCTTTCGAGACTGTGATAGCGACAAGTTGTTCACTATCATTAATCCCGAAATAGAAAATGTATATTCTTCACCTTTGCATATCAAATTGGCACACACTGTTCCGTAGGTCCCGAAAGACTGGTTATCCCACGAGGGGCTCCGACTTGATGTAAAAGGACTCAGTCGGTCAATGATGATGTTGATCGCAAAGATCATCGAACTCGTCGGGAAGGAGTGCAAGAAGGCGTGCACAATTGCTATCTCGGGAGATGAGACTGTGATTGAAGACTCCGCTGTGGCTCGGCTGGTTGGTGCAGCGGTGATCAATGAGGTAGGCGTGGTTGAATTTCGTGGCGCGTGACGGTGGTTGGCAGGTACCACTACAGTGGCACTCGTGCACGGCGGATTTGACAGAGTCTTTGGCGAAGCGATCTCCGGAAGTGCTGTTGCATTGTATCGGTCGCGAAAGCTCTTCAGCTGAGCGCCTGTTGGGTGATGTTATCTCGGTGACGTCAGCAGCTATGTCGGAGATCAACGGCATGTGGTGGTTGCCTAAAGGACTTCTGCTGTCAGTTAAGGAGGGACAAGCCTCTGAAGGTGAGCTGAATTATTAAAGTTTATTGACCCTAGTGATATGAACAACACTAGTTCACGACTATTGCAAGGCGCCAATATCGCGTTTTTCACGGAGTTTTACGCCACTTCACGTAAAACGCCGGTGAAACTCCATTGTTTTCGGGAATGCCAACTATGAACTGGATTGATAGACGTGGTTGTAGTATGCACTAGATGAGGGTGCACATGTGTACGCCATAGTTAATGGCGATCAGACACGTATGTTTGCATCGCTCCGCTGGACTCGACTACAGCAGGGTGATAGTATATTCCTGTGAGATTTCTCGAATTAGATGTTTTTCTAAAACGCACGATGTAGTGTGGGAAAATATACACGTGGTCAACTGTGTGTGTTGGTGACAATAAGGAAAATTTCTGAGGAAATTTTGGGAAATTTTTGTTATCTTTGCACATGTCTTGTGTGAATCATCATGATTGTGGTATCAGGTTTTGGTAGAAGTTCGAGCATTGGCACTACTGTAGATAAGTGCTGGACGGCCTTGGCTAGAGTTAGCACTCACCGTTCCCCGAGGAGGGTATTGATGAATTTGATGGTGAGTTTTGGTATAGGAAAGCAACCAGATTCGAACTGTCTGGTCTTCATATAAAAATGGCGTAGTGATACTCTTATCAATGGAGTTTCACCCGTTTTACGTGAAGTGGAGTAATACTCTGTGAAAAAAACCGATATTCGCACTATGCAATGGTCGTGAAATATATTTTCCACTACTGTTTTTCGTATTACGGGGGAAATTCTAACGATGCATTTAGATTTTCGCATTTGTTTGACATGATCCTTCTTATGGATATTTATATACTACAGTATCATTTATATATCGTAGTTTCACCCTAGTGTTATGAAAAACACTGGTGAAAAATATATTCCACTACTACTGCATATCACCGCGAATATCGCGTTTTTCACTGAGTATTACGCCACTTTGCGTTATTTTTATATAGCCTTATCTTTCATTAAAGATATTATATTTATTTATTGAGCATGAAGATACACTCAATGTTAACTTTATGATTTCACGATGACGTTGAGAATTTTTCTTTGGAATTGTTGAGGATACCAATGAGCTGAAGTACGTGTGAATTTGATATGGAAATGTGTGTTATTTTGTAGGACAAATTATAGTGAACAAGTTGTCGCTATCATCACAGTCCCAAACGGGTACTTTCACCACAACATATATTCATAGCCATTGTATATGCGATATAGTTTAATCTCGGAAAATAACACACATAGCGCTATTTCGCCAATTTGGTCAGATTCCCCGTCTTCAGCGAGAATCTGCGAGTACTGAGGGGACAGACCTTCGCGTGTCGGCTATACTCTACGGAGTGTCAGTCGTCCTAGAGGAAACACTGTGGGAGAGTCTTCACCACTCGCGACTGAATTTGTCGAATTAGATATCACCAAATTACAGCGAGGGATGTGGAAGCAGTGATGGGAGGAATTGCTGTTCTTGGTGATGATACTTACTGTTCGGAAAGGTGAGATTTGATTCAGGCATGGACGAACGTAGATCAGATATTTTCATCACTGTGGAGAACTATGCACATGGTCAACTACATGTGTTTGTGGCGATATGAAAACGCTGATGAAAATTTTCGATTGTAATTTTATAATTAGTACTCCTGAGCTCAGCTGAGGAAAGCGATCATACAGTGCGTGCTAATTTGATATGCAAATGTGAAGAATGTGCGTTCTTTTCTATTCCGGGAGTAATGATAGTGAACAACTTGTCGCTATCACAGTCTCGAAAGGTTACTTTTATCACATCACATGTTCATAGCAATGTTAACATTGTTTATGCGATATAGTTTATTCTCGAAGAATAACACACATTTGCATCGATCAAATTGACACGCACTGTATTTCCCATCAGGTGTCGAGTGCTCCTATCTCTTCATCACGCCTTGGTCCCCAGCATCCCGCCGAACGGAGTCATCGTGTGCGGCCTCTACGGTGCTATGATCAGACTGGGCATACGCCTTCTTGAGGACGATTCCAGGTAGGGTAGAAGCGTTGAGCTAGACTCCCGAGGTAGCTTGCGAGGTTCGTTGGTTGAGGTAGAGAGGCTTAGTATGGATTCGCTGTTTACCATCGAGCATTGCGGATAGGCACTATGAAAATCTATGGAGGGAAGAGTTGAAATATTTTCCTTTGAGAAAAATGTTGGACCCTATACTTGATCCCTTTTCATTGCTTCAGTGAGGATGCAGCCCTGTATGGCTTCGCCTTGTTGTGGTCGGTGTTGTCGTCGGCTCCACCAGAATGGCTAGTCAGCACGCTTGGACTCGTCGGCGTTCGAGCAACAAGTGCATTGAGAAGAGCGGGGAAGAGAAAACGCGATGAGGCGGAGGAACTTGGCTGGTAGGCGGCAGTGTGGGAAAATATGCACAAGATCAGCTACATGTGTTGGTGACAATATGGAAATTCTGAATCACTTCTACCCGAATTCGTATGTAAACTCCTATCATAGCTCAGCTGAGGAGAGCGACAATATATCTCAACGCTGTCAGTTTCGCTTACTGTGTTAGGATCCCTTATCTGGCACGGTATCTGGAGAAGCTCACACGTACCGTGCCCACAGCGGCTCTACGGAAATATTCTCCCATCATTGCCGCTGAACTCGTCTCAAGATATTGGTCTGTTGATAAGAAACAGCGAACTGCCTCCAATGAAGGTAAGTGGCCATTTGCTGATGCTTCCGGATCTGTCAGAACATGCTGTGATAGCTGTTGCTCAGAGAATCTTGCTGACGACAAGGTGGATGAAATCATTGCTTCGACCCTTTATCCTCTACTATGTGAGGGATCGACCGCGACGAGACGGTCCTCGGGCGAAGCTATCTCGTACAAGTCGGACGATGTAGGTGTCATTATGGCGGCAATTTTGTGATGAATAGAGGCTGATGAGCCCAAAAATGACAGAGCAAATCAGGCGATATCGGCCCATCATCATTCTGCGCTGTTATTTAGGTTCTCCACCTTTTTGCGTCGGCTGGGAGCGACTCGTCCCGAGAGAAGGTCAAGCGGATGCTTCAAATGTATAACTGAAGCTCCACAAGGTCGTTCAGTGCGTATGCAATTTATATCAGGTACACCCAGAGGTTCCGATACAAGGGCCGAGTATAGAGCGAATGTATCCGCTAGGCTTATCGTGTTACTTACGTATCTTAACCACAACGTCTCTTTCGAGTCCGTGAGAGATTGTGTTATCGAGTGCGAATTGCATGGTGCTCATATACACGGCAAACACGACGGGCTCACATAACTCAAGCGTGGAGCTCCATCCTAGACATATCGGAATGTCTATCTTTCGAATCTTGAGAAATCCCACAGTCCCTGGAGTTGGGGGGAGAAGTTGGAACCCGCGGTCTGACATGTAACCCCAGGCTGCTGTCTCCCGCTTGAAGTTGTGAAGTGGCAGTGTGAATCTGAACTCTTTAGCGCTGGCAAAAGTCCAGCCGACATGTGGTTGACAGCATCTTCACGAGCCTCAGCTGGATCAGAGTACATAACAGATAGACACGATGCAAGTCAAGGGATGGTGTGGATAGGAGCAATCAGAGCACTATGTTGGCTGATTGGCGACTGCTCCCTGATGGAGTGATCCCTGGTACCTTCACTGACTCAGAGAAGATCAAGTTGGACAAGTGGGCGGAAATGTGAGGATTCCTTGCGAGTCGAGCATAACATCTGAGGTGACCTCAGTGAGGTTGGAGCACCTGGTGCCCATCTGAAAATATACCGCATCACTGATAAATACTGCGCCGCCCGGGAATTGAACCCGGATCATCCGTTTGGCAGACAGATGTCATAACCTTTAGACTAGCGGCGCGGATATTGAGACGTTGCGTATCCACGCCACGCTATGATCCGCTCAGTAAGTCTCGAAGTAGGTTGCGGTCAAGGGGGTTAGTTTTGTGCCCAACGCGCAGCAGCATGCCGGGTGGTAAGAATCTGGAATTTCGGTTCGGGATGGGTAAGTCCGGTTGGTGCACCGTCTTCAGATGTACCCAGGTGTTGGCTAACGTTTCGTAACCTGCACTGGCCATGGTTCGAGAAAATTACAAGTTGGATGGTATTGCTGTGTTTGAGCTTAACGTCCAACATCGACAGAAGGGCTTAGTTAGCCTCGTCGTGCGGCTCAGAGGAGACTGATGTGTGCAGAAATGTAATATTCCCTGCGAGTGGTGCATAACTTCGTGTAAGTTGAGGCACTTGATGCCCATCTCCACATTTTCCACAACATTTGCAGACCGTTGTAAATACTGCGCCGCCCGGGAATTGAACCCGGATCATCCGTTTGGCAGACAGATGTCATAACCTTTAGACTAGCGGCGCGGATATCGTATAGTTGAGGGTCTACGCTAACCTCTGATTCGCTCAATAATTGATGTGATAGGTGGGTCAGGACTTCTGCGCCCAACATGCAGCAACATCTCGGTGATGAGCATCGGGAAATCTGATTCGGGATGGGTAAGTCCGGTCGGTGCACCGTCTTCAGAGGTACCCAGGTGTTGGCAAATGTTTCGTAGCCTGCACTGGCAATGGTTCGAGAAAGTTACTATATAGCAATACCATTCAGCCGAAGTTGAATGGTATTGCTGTGTGTGAGTTCAACGCCCAACGTCGACAACAAGACTTAGTTAGTCTCGTCGTGCGGCTCAGAGGAGACTGATGTGTGCAAAAATGCGAAAATTCCTTGCGAGTGGTGTATAGCTTCGTGTAAGTTGAGGCACTTGATGCCCATCTCCACATTTTCCACAACATTGACAGATCGTTGTAAATACTGCGCCGCCCGGGAATTGAACCCGGATCATCCGTTTGGCAGACAGATGTCATAACCTTTAGACTAGGGGTGGGGGGAAAAATCGAGAAAATGGCCCGGGAAAAAATGAAAGGAGGAAAAAAGGGGGAAATGAAGAAAAGGAAAGGGGGGAAAAAGAAGGGGAATGGAATGAAGGAAGAGGAGGATGCTCATCAGTTAATCGTGAAGTGCATAGAATGCTTGTTATATCTATTCTTTGCATGAAATCCAGTTAGCGAGAAAATCTGATAATTCCCCGTGTATCTATTTCCAAATCATATCACGGGTTCGAGTCCCACAGTCGGCACTTTTCCAACATTTTTCTGGCATTTCCCGACGGGAAATTCCTGTGTTGCTTACTGAGCTTCAGTCTGAAGCTCACTCCTCCAGTTATGTGATATAACTTTTATCATGAATCATGATTCATGGTTATTGCTCCCTATTGGCATAACACAAATCATTGTCAAGTGAAGACACAGTTCGACAGAGCTGGCAGTCAACTGATAATGTGATCCAGCAGCATTCGATCAGACTATCAGGCCTTCGATATGTGATTACATTAATCATCGTTTCAATCGCAGAACTGGGAGAATATACCCGCGCCTGGGAAACATCGATCTCACGAATTCGACACACCTTTTCAACTACCTCCGATAGTGTTAGCAGCAACTGCGGTATTGACATCCATCTTGTCAAGAGTTGTACCTAAGGCGGAACAAGTCGACGGACTGGGTTTCACGATTTCAGCTACCTTCGATGATGTTATCAGCCACCTCTCCATCACCGGTCGTTCTTCGCTCATGATAACGTCGTCGTTTATTAGAGTTATAACGACTCTTCTTCTCCATAGCACGATGCGTTTTCAGGAGCCTCAGGCTCTCCACCCTTTGATGATTCAAATTCATAGCGAGCGGACAGAACCTCACGATTTTGCCATGCTCGTCAGCAAACTGCTCATGACCTGGCATCTCTCCTCCATCCTCTTTCATCATAACCGCTGTGAGGCGTATCCCACACCAACCACAATTTCTCCCCGAGCCTGTCGCAGTCACCCGTATAGTCTTGGCTCGCTCTCGGGCCAATCTCCTCATAGCCTTGGATTCATTATCCATGAACGGCCGAGAATCCATCGGGCAACGCCCCCATCTACTACCATCACGAACATGGTCATTGTAACCATCAATAAGCGGCTTGCCACAGAATCGACAGACCTTGCTATTGAGCGAATCTTCTCCGCGAGAGAGGCCCTTGACGTGAGGCTCTGGAGACGCTGCACCCTCAGCTGGCCCACTGGCATCTTGATTAGCGGCTCTTCTCTGAGTAATGCTTACACTCTGGATCGGAGACTGAGATACTGAGCCTCTCTCCCGCTTTTGGCGCACAATATCATCCAGCACATCCGAGGTTGTGACGGGCTTCGGACCAGCTCCCAACTTGATGGGAGATACCATCTGCTGATTGGCGGAATGAGTGTGAGGGAATGATATATCAATCGGAGGCTTCATTCCTTCGAAGAGCCGGGCTGCCACTTCCTGACCTCGCACTGTAGAAGGAATCGAAGACGCACGGGTACGATTCAGCTGTTTGATGTAAGTCTTGAGGTCATCCAAGGAAATGGCATGGAGAGGCAGCGGTGCTTTGACTCCATCATCTGTCATAGCACAGTGCACTTCATCCAACACCCTTTTCGTATATAATTTAAAAATAGAATCCGGGTTCTCGTCAGGGACTTGACTTATGAGGTCACGTACTACACCAGTCACTATATTTGACCAGTTTGCTAGCCGGATGATGGGACTTGTTGCATGACTTCCGCGTAACCGGCAAAACCGCCTCCGTGATTTACCACCCATTCGCATAGCTTGGAAACCGTCATCCCTGGAATCTCCAGCATCGGGAGTACTCAACTCAGCCGAATCACAATCAGACTCTTCCACATCACCTGAGTACGACTCACAGTTTGAAACACTATGATATATCCCCCTTATTACCTGAGATCCATTTCATGATGGCGCTCTCTTGATCGTTGGTAGGATTACCATCCTCTTCATTATCCGAGGCGGAACTTGATTCTTCATCTTTCTTCCTCTCATTCTCCCACTCCTTGCAGATAGCCTGATATCGCTGCTTGTTGGTCAGAGCCAAATATTCGTCGCCGAACACAATTTTGGCCTTCTGTGAGGTCACATTGATGCTACTGCCAGCCGTCGCCGCAAATCGATACTCTCTGCTGCTCAATGGTATGGGGATAGCCTCCTTGCCATCGATTCCACCTTCCATCTTCATTTTCAGCCTTCTATTGCTGTAAACCATCCGCCATAACAGTTTACAATCATGCAAAACCCCCGAAATCCGGCTTGTTTGGGAGAAATCTTTTTTGATGCATGCATGGCGGCATTCACTCCGAGAGCTCCCTCTAACATGTCTGAGGCCACCCTGAGCATCTCTCACAAAAGCCGTCGATGTTGACGTATCCGATACACAGTAGTTGTCCACATGTACTAATACCGACCTGAATGTGGGCCAGAAGCTGTCTTTGAATAAAGGTACTCCCACAGAACCCGGCAACGGTCGTCCACTGACCTCCTCACGCTGGGATTGATGAGTAGATGCTTCACCCTCGCAATCCAATTCCCAAAACGATCGAATACAGACTTCGAGTCTCCGTCGTAGTTCTACCGGCTGAGGAATCACCCGACGCACATGCCGTCTCATCTCAGATCGGCTAGGTTTCGATACTAATCCAGCACGAGCTCGCTGAGCTCGAAATTCGATAAGATCAGCCTCATTGTCGATGAAAAAGCACTTTGATAGTGCAGTTGCGAAACGGTTCTGACGAGGATGATTATCGGCGGTGTTTCTCAGCAATCTGAAGATGCAGTGGAGTGCATCTAGTTTTAACTCGATAGTCTCCGGCTCCCTATCGAGTGCCTTGGCTATCAATCGCCTGTTGTTGTCACCAACCGTCTGACAACAATCCCGATCTACGAATATCGTCACCACATCAGTGCTCATATTATCTTTCAACTGCGCCAATGCCGGCCCCAACTCGGCCATGCTCGTCGACTCTGTCGATACTGCATTCAGAACCATTCCACCATCGGCCACGAATACCACCAAATAGCCATTACGGTTCGTACTCACCCGTTTAGGTACAGATCGAGTATGATCAATACTCAGGCTAAATTGAACTTTATGGGAGCTCAGTTCCCGTAGAAGATCTGCTTTATGCAGCTCGAAGTCCTTCAATAGAGCATATTTCAATACCAAATGTGAGATGCGGGCAGGTTGATCAGGTATAGCCTCCTCCGCCGATAGACGGCAGATTTCCCTCGCGGAAGCTGACACGGTGGAGATTAGGGTTCCATTCTCACATCGTCGTTTATACTCATTGAAAAATGCCCGTCGCCTACCAAGAGCTACGCTCTCCAAACCCCTTATCACCTCTGCCTCCCTACTCACTAGCCCGCCATCCCGTAGCCGTCGGATGATTGATACTGGAATTATGCTCTGTTTGCCCAGCACGAACCGACTTAAGATCCCATCACTGACGATATCGGGCAAGGTATCAATATACTTATAGTTGAGACTGCTAAAGCAATGCTGACACTGTGGGTTACCACATCGCCGTCTAGTCGATATCAGACGAGAATGCCAGGCTCCGTCGACTTCATCACTGTAAACAACCTTGGCCGGGATCAACTGCTTGACCGAGGTAATGTCAGCACTGTTACAAACCGGGCATCGGCCACCATGGGGATGCCAAAGCCAGAGATCACGACCGCGTAGCTTGTCGGGTATGGACCCTACAGCTGAACTGCGCATGGCTTCCTCTGGAGTAGGGCATTTGAAATGATAAAGACCAGGGCGGGTATTGTCGATCTCAGACAGGCGCCCTATTAACGCTTCTAAGTCCTGGACAGTCTGTGGATCATGTAGCCACGGCTGGCGTTGACCAGATTTTGGAGGTTGTGCTCTGACAACTGATGATGGTGCTGATACCGTTGATGGTGCTTCTGGTGATGGTGCCGTTGAGCACTGAGCGATGGATGTATCTGAATGCATGACTGGTGGATAGCGGCTAATCGGCTGGTAACTAGTAATGTGTAGCAGAGTTATGCCTCACAAGAACACAGTCCATTAACGAGGATTCTAGATCTCACCTTCGCTCTTCTTCGCGAACCAATTATTGCGTTTCGCAACCGCCACTCTTTCTTTGAATATTGCATCCCTGATTTTCTCCACCTCCTTTGGAAGACGCCCTAATGTACAATACACAACTAAACCACCCGATAGTCGGACTATCATAGACCAATACCCGATCGGCTAGGCCGCGGATTCTCGCCTCTCTTCCAGGCGAGGATGAGGTCTTTATACTTCTCCTCAGCCTGCTGCCTCGTCAGACGATCATGAGGCATAAGAACAACAGATACTTAGAAAAACATCAGCAGCCATCAATGGACTCAGCAACTCAAAACACAGAGGAATAAAAATATGGGCGAGCGAGATTGTTCGTACCGAAGCCCACCTAAGCAATAGAAGCCCCCTCAACAGCACGCTTAGGGGGGGCGACAAAGGCTTTCACTCACTAAATGAGAAGACTAACAAGTAAGAGAAACGTAAAAAAGAGACGAAAGGCAAGAAATGTGGCGAAAAGGGCAAAATATGC